TTATCATTGTAAAATTACTTTGTGTGTGTGTGTGTGTGTGTGTGTGTGTGTGTTATGGCCAGGTTTCATCAAGTGTTGTGAACACAAATGCCAGTCCATAACTTAGTCCATAACTCCAAACACTTAGCGTCTCCAAAAGTCATGTTGACCCGTTCCCCGTTAAACACGGAAACACCCGGAGCAGAACTGTCAGAGTGAGCACAAGGGGACAAACTGAACTGGACTGGCTAACGTTAGCACAGCAGCTAACGGAAACTGTGACTCAATGACACATGCAAGACATTTACTGAGACGAACATAGCGCAAAAAAAAAACGGAACACAATCCATATTGCACTTTGTCTCCTTATTGGCACCAAAATGAACGCCTAAACAACTTCATAAAACGACTGAAACTCTCTGAGCAAACCCAGAATAAACCCAACCCTTAAAACTTCTGACAGCTCTTGCTCTGAGCTGAACTCTTATAAATGACGACGTGTCTGTAGAAAATCACCGGATTACTCAATGAACTTACTTTGCCAAACTATTGTTTTCAAGCCGTGGTCTGCTGCAGTTGCCATCTTGAGTTGAGACGAAACACATGCGCACCTCCGTCCTCTGGGAGGAGTGAGAGAGAGCCCGCGCTCATGTGGATAGTTTTGCCAGAAGATGTGCGCAGATTTACAAACGCATGATAAGCATCAAGCACAGATCCTGCTTAAGTGAACAAAATTGCATCACATTAGGTTTTGTGAGCTCACTGTTTTGATGAAGAAACCGGGCTGGTCGGCACACTTTTTAATATTTCTCGGAGTGAGTTTATTTTTGAAAGTCTGGATTACAAAAAGCTACATTTCCACCATTACTGGCCAGGGAACAAGATAAAGTTCATTAAACAGGTCATGCCTCAATTGCATACGATTTTGTTATTTTAAATTGAATTTAAAATGAAATTATTCAGAAAATGTAATGCTTAATGGCATTTTGTAGTAAAATACTGGTGTTTATGTTTCTGATAGTGACTACTATCAAAGTCCCTTTAAAGGGGTCATATGATGCGATTTAAATTTTTTCCTTTCTCTTTGGAGTGTTACAAGCTCTTGGTGCATAAAGAAGATCTGAGAGAAGCGCTTGTTGTTTGTTGTTTCTCCGATCACAAATGCAGACATGGTTTTATGTTTACGCGGCGCGATGCAATGCAACGCGTAAAAAGACAGTATAAGTCATTATAATCAGTAATTATGTCCCCCCTGGATGCAACAAATGCCTTGTTTGTAATGGGTTTTAATGGTTTTGTCTCGTCGCTCCGGCCGGACACGGCATCAACAGTATGGTGAGGGGCGTAGCATTTCCGTCTCACGCTTGAGGCATTCGGCCAATCACAATGCACTGGATAGCTGGCCAATCACAGCACTCCTCGCTTTTTCAGACCGATGAGCTTTGTAAAAATCTACGCGTTTCAGAAAGGCGGGGCATAGAGGAGAAACAATAATGTACAGTATGTGGAAAATAATGTTTTTTTTTTTATCTTAAACCGCATAAACACATTTCATTACACCAAATACACAAAATAATGTTCTTTTTAGCAACATCATATGACCCCTTTAAACAATTTCTGAAAATTAATAAGAATAATTTCACCATGCACTCCTCACAACAACCATCATCTGCAATGAACCACAAAAACAGTAAAAATAATGTCTGGTTCCATAATTATACAGTATAATCATGCATACAAAATAAATGTTTTACTACCTTAAAATTACACAAAGTAAATTGTGGGGAGATGTCTCCTTTTCATTTTTTTTTTAAAGAAAGGATTGCAGGGACAGCATACCTGTGTGTGTAACACTTTAGAATGAATGTTATTTAGGCTACCTGAGTACTAAAACTAACTACACAAATGTGTATAAACTGCATTATTTACATTAGACTGCATAGGCTATACAGCATTAGACTTCTTCCTCCAGTCTTCTGTTACACCTATTTACATGCATGTCTCATCTTCACTTCTGATTGGCCAGCTCATTCTCATCCCCAGCTCTTATTGGCCAGCTCTTCTGAGGAGGCGCGGTTAGGTTAAAGTATCTGAGATGCCTTAAAGAAAAGCTCCATGTATATTCAGCCAAAACACAAGAAACTGAAGAGAGTGCAGAGTTTAGATTAAAAAGGAGAAATCAGGATTCAAACAGAGAAAACAGATGGCAGGCCTGGGAGGAATCAAGGGTCTGGTGCTTTTGCTTGGAATAGTCTCACAAGTAAGTTATGTAATTGTATTCATTCACTTCACATTTCCCTTTATTCATAAATTAAGTACTTTGTAACATGCAGCATAGAATGATGTGAATGAAAAGGGAAATGGTACTTCTTTAAATAAAAAAGAATGAAGTAATAAAAGAAAAGAAACATTTTCTATGATTCTGTCATGCATTAATACTTTTAATGCATTAATACTAATTTTAAATTTGATGCAGTTATGAAAAACAATTGGAATAAAAAAAATCAAAATGTACAAATTACACTTGTTATGAACGTTTACAGTCTAATAAAAGTGAATTGTTTCATTTACAGGCATCAGGTACTGCTCATCTGGATCAAATTCACTGTATCTGTTTAAATTCAAATTCACACTCATAAATACACTGTTCTTGATTATGATTTGTGTTATATTTAACCAGCATTAATGAATTCCTCAGACAACTAAATTTCTTGTCTTTTACAGGCAGCACAATAACAGTGAGTATTTTTACGGTGACATCAAAGAGTGCGGTGTTGCGCTGGAGCAAATATGAAGGCGCATTGTCCTACAGAGTAACAGCTTCTCTCCGAAACTCTCAAGTCCCTGTGGTCTTTGCCAGCTTTGGACAGAACACCATTATGGGCTCCGTTAATTCCCTGAATCCCAACACTGCATACACCTTTCGTGTCGAGGCCCTGGGTAGCCACATGAACATGCTGACAGATGCTGCTGTGGATGGTTCTACTGGTGCGTACTGAAATCTACACATGGCTTGCTAAAGAGTAGTGATGGGATCTAGGAGGTAATATGTCTCTGTGAAAAAACTTTAAACGTTTTCAGAATTGAAAGAAATTTCCATGATCTTTCTACGCCTGGAATTTACCATTTTTAAATTCCCCGATAATTCCAGGTTTTCCATATAGAATCCCTGATTAGCATCTTGTTTGTTGAATTGACCTTGTATGCAGTTTAATATTTTTGAATCAGTTAGGCTCTCAGTGTTAACTGACGATGTGTGAAATTAATGGAACTGTAACATTTCTCATCTTTTGTTCAGCTCCTGATGTGCCCTCCATTGTGATGGCCTCCTCTAAAGAAAGCCAGAGCATCACTGTGGAATTCACTTCGGTCTCCGGTGCCACTTCCTACATCCTGCGTGCTGAGACAAATGACGGATCTTTCTTCTCAGAGATCTCAGTACCCGGCTCTCCGGGGACTGTCACCAACCTCCAGCCATACACAGACTACACTCTCAGTGTCATGTCCGTCAACAGCGCAGGCAGAAGCCAGCCTTCCATCTCCGTGGAGGCTAAGACAGGTATATTCTTCTACTCTCTCTCCACCCTCTTTGACCTCGAGGCCAAAGAAATGATCCATTCATGAAGGGACAGAGTTGGCTATTCTCTAACCCTCACCCAGTGCTGTAACCTTATCCTCTCATTGAGAAAGATCAGGATAAGCTATATGGCTGATCTCATGGGCTTGATTTTTAGCAGCATGCATAGCTTGTGTTCACATTTTCAATTAAATAGGTTTCTCACGCATGTGTCCCTAAGTAACAATATCCGGGTTTGCTCTGTAGGCAAAATATGAGACGTTGAACTATGACAAAAGGGCTGCCCTCCTCAAGGGACTAGGCACAGAAAATTAATTCTCTGTCTTCACCTCAGGGCCCTCAGCAGTTTTGTGTCATTTTTCAGGTAGCACTTTTTCCACCTGAGATGGTCACCAAGGAAATAATAATGGAAGGGAACTTAATTCGCAGAATAGCCTCGATGTGAAATCCTGTGGTCTTTGCCAGCTTTGGACAGAACACCATTATGGGCTCCGTTAATTCCCTGAATCCCAACACTGCATACACCTTTCGTGTCGAGGCCCTGGGTAGCCACATGAACATGCTGACAGATGCTGCTGTGGATGGTTCTACTGGTGCGTACTGAAATCTACACATGGCTTGCTAAAGAGTAGTGATGGGATCTAGGAGGTAATATGTCTCTGTGAAAAAACTTTAAACGTTTTCAGAATTGAAAGAAATTTCCATGATCTTTCTACGCCTGGAATTTACCATTTTTAAATTCCCCGATAATTCCAGGTTTTCCATATAGAATCCCTGATTAGCATCTTGTTTGTTGAATTGACCTTGTATGCAGTTTAATATTTTTGAATCAGTTAGGCTCTCAGTGTTAACTGACGATGTGTGAAATTAATGGAACTGTAACATTTCTCATCTTTTGTTCAGCTCCTGATGTGCCCTCCATTGTGATGGCCTCCTCTAAAGAAAGCCAGAGCATCACTGTGGAATTCACTTCGGTCTCCGGTGCCACTTCCTACATCCTGCGTGCTGAGACAAATGACGGATCTTTCTTCTCAGAGATCTCAGTACCCGGCTCTCCGGGGACTGTCACCAACCTCCAGCCATACACAGACTACACTCTCAGTGTCATGTCCGTCAACAGCGCAGGCAGAAGCCAGCCTTCCATCTCCGTGGAGGCTAAGACAGGTATATTCTTCTACTCTCTCTCCACCCTCTTTGACCTCGAGGCCAAAGAAATGATCCATTCATGAAGGGACAGAGTTGGCTATTCTCTAACCCTCACCCAGTGCTGTAACCTTATCCTCTCATTGAGAAAGATCAGGATAAGCTATATGGCTGATCTCATGGGCTTGATTTTTAGCAGCATGCATAACTTGTGTTCACATTTTCAATGGAATAGGTTTCTCACGCATGTATCCCTAAGTAACAATATCCGGGTTTGCTCTGTAGGCAAAATATGAGAAGTTGAACTATGACAAAAGGGCTGCCCCCCTCAAGGGACTAGGCACAGAAAATTAATTCTCTGTCTTCACCTCAGGGCCCTCAGCAGTTTTGTGTCATTTTTCAGGTAGCACTTTTTCCACCTGAGATGGTCACCAAGGAAATAATAATGGAAGGGAACTTAATTCGCAGAATAGCCTCGATGTGAAATCCTATCACAAATATCCAGAGAATTACATCATGCATATGATCCAAAACAGAACAATGGGGTGTTTTCTTCAAACCACTTAAGTTAAGTTTCCAAACGAAACTGTGGAAGGGAAGGGATCAGTAAAGAACAGGAGAGGGACAGACAGGACATTCCAGGGGAAGGGCAGGACAGAACTAGAAATGGACACGACTAGAGGGACTGAAGGTGATGAAAGAGACCAGAATGGACCTAAAGGGAATGGAAAGGAACGGAAAGAAATGGGAGAGAACCGAAATGAATGAGAGAGGGATGAATAGGAAATGCCAGGACAGGACAGGACAGGGCAAGACAGGAAATGAAGGGATGGAAAGTGAAGAAGTGGAAAGGAAAGGAAAGGA